GTGCCGGGAAAGGCCCAAAAGCAAAAAAAAAAACCCCGTTTCGAAAAACCAAAAAAAAAAAAAAAAATCTATCAACTTTAAATTACAATATGTGTATATATAGAGACCTGTGTGCATCTGTTATTTTAATGCACAGAACAAAAAGACCATCTACTTTTTTTTCTTTTTTTTTTTTTTTTTTTTTGAGCCAGGGGTTCTCTGTATTGTTTTTGGAGCCTGTCCTGGAACTCGCTCTGTAGACCAGGCTGGCCTCCAAACTCACAGAGATCTGCCTGCCTCTGCCTCCCGAGTGCTGGGATTAAAGGCGTGCACCACCTACGCCCAGCGACCATACCTTTTAATTGAAGTTTTATTATCCATTACATATACAAAACTTTAGTGTTTAGGAACTGGGCTACAGATTTTTTTTTTTTTTAAGGCAGGGCAACTCTGACAAGCAAAAGAATGACAAACTTCCTGGCCTGGGTTATTGATTACCCGAGCTAGCATCACCTGATTTTAGAGGGTGGGGAGTGGGGGAGGAGCTGGGGATGTGGCTCAGTTAATGGTATGTTTGCCTAGCAAATTGGGCTTCCTGGCTTGCACTTGTAATTCAACAGTAGACTGAGGCAGGAGGATCTCTTTAACTTTAAAACTAGCCTGGGCTGCAGAGGGATTTTGCCTCAAAAAACTGAAAAAACAAACAAAAGACCAAGCCAGGAATATATGCTTGGTGTGAGGAGTGGTCCAAGCCTTTTTTTTTTGGGGGGGGGGTGGATGGCACACTTTCTCTGTGTAGCCCTTGGCTGTCTTGGAACTCACCATGTAGACCAGGTAGACTTGAACTCAGAGATCCACCTGCTTCTGCCTCCTGAGTAGTACTGGCATTAAAGGTGTGGGCCACCACTGCCTGTCTCCAAGCACTTTTAAGAATCATAGAAAAACAGAACAGAAAAGACAGTGCATTGAATGTCTAACATACATGGGCCAATGTTTATTTTTGAGAAAGGGTGATGTGATATATATGTGTATACACATATGCAAATGGCATCCTTGTACGTACACATATATGTCCCAGGTTGACTTTGAACTTGCTTTGTAGTTAAGGATGGTCTTGAATTCCATATCATTCAGCTTTAGCTTTTGTAGTGCTGGTATTGGAAGAATGCTTTACCTCACCCAGTTTATGCACTGTTGGGGACTGAACTCCGGGCTTTGTGCATCTGTCGAGTACTCTGCCAATGGGGCTAGCCCCTAGAAGAGATATATGACCAGCACAAATAGGTGTTGTCTTATGGAAGAAGAATTCACCAAGGTCTTAAAGTCAGGGAATGTGGAATAAAAGGATCTCAGAATTGTGGCTCTTCCAGATTCCTGTGTTTTACATTCCCTTGATTACTCCAGACTTGGTTGTTGGGTTACATAAAAACTGCTGTAGAGCCTTAGTTTCCCTTTTGCCTTCTCTTTGTTTCTTCACATTCCAAATCAATTCTCAGAATTGTAGCTTTCTTACTATTCTGTTCCATAATTATTGAAGGAAGATCTGGGGCTTTGCTCTTGGGCCATACATACAATTTTTAGCCTTGTTGATTGAGCATACCATAGAACTTGGAATAGCTCCCCATGGGCTATAAGCCATGTACCATAAGGAGTATGTTTCAGTCACTTCATAGTGCAAGGGGGTAGGGCTTTAAAAATCTCACCTTCAGGGACACAGGCTGACCCTGGACTCTTCTGCTCTAGTCTGAATTATCCATATCCTGGTGCTATTGTGCTATCTATCTATCTATCTATCTATCTATCTATCTATCTATCTATAAGAATAGAACAATGCTGGGCATGGTAGTGTTTGGCTTTAATCCCAGCAATTGGAAGGCAGAGGCAGGAAGATCTCTAAATTCAAGGCCAGTTTGTTCTACAAAGTTCCAGGTCACCTAGGGCTATGTAGAGAAACTATCTCTCAAAAATTACCCCCCCACCAAAAAAAATAAATAGAATAAAATAAAAAAGAACAAAACAAAAAGATAGACAGTGACAGGTTTTGATGAGGATGCCGAGAAACTGGGACCTTCATTTGTTGCTCATAGATATGTAATATGATGTAGTCATTTTGGGGTTTTATTTGTTATTGTTTCAAGACAGAACCAGGCAGGCCCTGAACTCCTGATCTTCTTGTCTTCAATTCTCAAGTGCTGGCTTACAGCATTCTATCCAGTCTAACAAAATGGGAATGTAAGCTAGAAAATAGATGAACCTTAAAATCATTATGCTGAGTAAAAGTCAAACATAGAATACCATAATAAATGCGGAATACCACAATACATGATTCCTTTTATATGAAAAATCTATAATACACACTCCCTAGGCATATTAAGTGGATTCCTGTCTGTGAGTGAGATGGATGAAAGCAGAAACGAATTCTCAAACAATATCACTAGAAATAAGTAAATAGCACTGCTCTAAAATTAATGTGGCAATATGTAGCATGCGTCTGTGGGTAGAGTAAGAAAAACAGTTAAAAACGGTGCTTTGAAAAACCAATTGTATGGATTGGAGAGATGGCTCAGCAGTTAAGAGTGCCTGTTGTTCTTGCCCATTACCTGGGTTCATTTATAAGAGATGACACAGAGAGCCTACTAAGCTAGACTGCTCCGTGAGAGGAAAGAAAGACTGCCACCAGGGGGTGGGGCAAAGTGGAAAAGCAAGCAGAGTTTATAGGACAGTCAGCAGGGTGGGGAGGGACCCAAGCTGACACAGGAAGTTGGGATTGATCCTGAACGAGGTGCCCTTGACAGAAGTTCTTGACCTTTGGTGGAAGATTAAGGGAGATTCCTGGAGGAAAAGTTGGAGACCCAACAAAGATCTAGAATGCAGAACTCGGTCCCCACTCCTTAAAGGTTTCTGTCTCACATAGGAAGAATCATAATGGGATTCTCTCCAAATTTGGGTGTCATTAAAGGAAGTAGAAAGTATACTATACATGCTATGCTGTAGATATGTACTATAGTGTTTGCATCATTCTCATCTTTACAGAGGAGTAGAAAATTAAGTTCATTGGCAGACAAACTTACAATGTCAGTAAATAAGCAGTGCATCTGGGTTTTAAACCCACTTCTCTTGGCACCTGACACAGTTTCCTGTCTGTAAACACAAATTATAATTGTCATTGTCTGCCAAGATGGCTATGTGCATGGTACAGAAGGCGAAGGGCGTTGCACCTAGGGATGCCTATAGAGAGAGATACCATGTAGCTGCTGGGAAGGTAGGTCTGGACATTCTCCACTAAGGCCATGTGAAATGCATAGATTAATAGTTATGGGTTAGTAATTAAGAGAGAGCTGGCCAGTAAGAAGGCTGAGCCATCGGCCAAACAGTTCATAATTAATATAAGCATCTGTGTATTTATTTGGGACCAGGTGGGACAGAAACTCCATTTAAAGATGCCATTAAGGAGGCAGCCTTCTGAGCAACACTAACACAGCAGTTAGTGTTAGTACATAGGGGTATGAAAATAGTGGTTTCTGCAGATCCCGTGTTATAGAGGGAAATATCCCAGAGCTGAGAACTCTCTCAAGGAAGAAAGACTGGAAAATGGAAGCAGTGCTGTCAAATTCTTTAGTAAAGATTTGCATGCATTTAGATGTATACTTATATTATACCTGTTATTAGCAAACTGTCATGCTTTGAAGGAATGGGGGAAAAGTTCTTGCAAAGTAACCTTTGCCAAAGAACACACAACTTAGATGGGAGTTAAGTAAGGCACATGAATAAAATAGTTACCAAGACAGGAAACAGACACACTATTGCTTTTGATGAAACGAGGGATAGAATATCTTAAGATGGGTATTTCTGTGGGGGCTGAGCATGGATGGGGCCATGATAGACTGAGATGTGAACTGTGTTTTCAAGGATGAATTAGTCAGTTGTTTTCTTTTCTTTCTTTTTTTGTTGTTGTTGTTTTGTTTTTTTCAAGACAGGGTTTCTCTGTGACCTTTGGAGCAAGTCCTGGAACTCACTTTGTAGACCAGGCTGTCCTTGAACTCACAGAGATCCACCTGTCGATGCCTCCTGAGTGCTGAGTTTAAAGATTTGTGCCACCACCGCCCAAATTAGTCAGTCTTGGGTGAGTTTAGGGAGAGTTGTTCTCCTTCATAGCAAGCTGGGCTGGTATTTGGTATTAATATTTACTGATAAGTGACCAAATTATTAAATCATAATCAGTGCTTATATATTTATTTAACTGGTAACTAAGTAATACAGTAATCCAAAGATATTAAAGGTAAATATTGCATGTTTATGGAATTGCACAGTTTCTAAGAAACAAGAATATCATCTCATGGAACTATAAGTATTTGGGTGTGACAGTTCCCTGGGGTTACCATAAGGAATATGTTGAACCAGCACATAATGTCAAAACTATACAGAAATAATTAAGAGGCCGGCCTGACCCCTACCGAGAGCCCCCATGCAGTGGCTGATGGAAGCAGAGGCAGACACCCACAGATATGCACTGAACTGACCTCTGGAACCTAGTTGCAGAGAGGGAGGAATGAAGATCAAAGGGGTCGGCTAACCAACTCCA